GCATTTACTAGTCCGCGCTTTACTAGTCCGCGCTTTACTAGTCCGCGCTTTACTAGTCCGCTTTTTACTAGTCCGCGTTTTACTAGTCCGCGTTTTACTAGTCCGCGTTTTACTAGTCCGCGTTTTTCTAGTCCGCGTTTTACTAGTCCGCGTTTTACTAGTCCGCGTTTTACTAGTCCGCGTTTTACTAGTCCGCGTTTTACTAGTCCGCATTTTACTAGTCCGCGTTTTACTAGTCCGCACTTTACTAGTCCGCGTTTTACTAGTCCAGTCCAGTCCAGTCCAGTCCACGAAATACCATATGCCTACTCGTCTAGGTGTAGTTGGATAATAAGTGGACAATATGCTCACTTCATCGCTCAAGACTTGGTCTTGGATTGACTTGAGTGGTAAATACTAAGTGCAGTGCCAGCAAATATTTCCAGGCATAAAGCGAAGAAGCTTCCCAAAGCAGACAGAGGGTTAAGGAAAGAGGATTCTCAGTTAATTTTCCACGAAACAGGGCTATCTAATTATATTTTCGGTTGATTCAGGTAATTATTCTATTTGCTTGCGATCGAGTTTAATTCCTGTTTTATTATTGTTGTACTTCTTGATGGCATGCGCACTAAAAATCAATTTTGAGTGTCTTTCAACAGTTCCGAAAGGCGACAAGTGCTGTCCATTATGATAGATAAAATAAGTTTCAATGATCTGAAAAAATGGATAAACTACACCATGGTACGCCTGGAAATATTTGTTGGCACTCTGCACTTATTATTTCCTCCTCGAGTCCATCCATGACCAAGTCTTGAGCGATGAAGTGGGCATATTGTCCATGTATCAACATCGGTGGGTCGTTGGAAAACAGCTGCTGTAACCAATATCAAGTCATACTCGGTGAACAAACCAGTGAATGAAGAATGAGCCTAATGCCGTGTTATTTCAAGTTCCTTGTCACACAACTACAAAGGCACTATTTACCTGTTCCTTTTTTGTCTTTTGGATTGTGGCCACAGTCGTCCACAGCAAGAGATTCAAATGAACAACAAATTTCCATTCTTCAAAACATTTAAACTCGGTTGTTTACTTGTTGTGCACTAAGTTTTATCGGATGAAATTAACTGCGCATGTCACGTTACTTTTTATTGCTAATTGCCTCTAAGTAGTAACAAGTCTAAAAAAACATGAATTTTTATCTGGACACAAAAGCTCTCACTCCTATTTGGATTTCATATAAAAAATTTTTAGCAACTTTTCGATTTAAGAAATTTCAAACTTCATTTCTACAAAAGGAATGCTTTCGGAGAAAAAAAAACCAACTTCTATCGTATTGCGAGTACTTTGAAGACGTTATATATATCATTCAAGCATTCATTATTACCACTGGCTGCAAATGATAGACAAAGTCTGTCTTTTCCCTTATGTCGCCGACTTCGCCGAAGAGCGAAATTCCTATTAATTTAAAGCTCTCGTATGCATAGCAACACAAAAACCCCAGAACAACAACTCTACAAACAGTAAGTGTATCATTTCTAAGGCCTAGTCCACACGTATCCGGATATTTTCGAAAACAGAGATTTTTAGGCTTCCGAACAAATTTTCAAACATTTTTTGGAAAAGTAACTGTCACGATGTGACACCTGTCAATTG